CCCTCTCTCCACAGGCATTCCTGGCTAGCAGCAGACCTGCTGCTGCTGAGCTGCTCAGAACCATCCACCCAGTTCGGAGACAGTTTCTAGCTGCCTAAAGCCCAGGCTGGCCTCGAACTCGTGATCCTCCTGCCTCTGGCTCCTTCAGCAAATCCTACCAGCATGCGCCACCACAAGCCTCCTGCAGTTTGCAGCAAGCTCTCGAATCTGCCTGGTGATTGGGGTGACCACGGTCTTGGCCTGGGACCCCGGATACCTGAGTTTTACGGGGGCCTAACAATCTCAGTTTGTGTTCACTGCAAAGGGAGAACCATCACTTTCTGAAACTATTTTTCCCAGGTTTGAGGAAAACGCAGGGTACCTATAAATAAAGTCCAAATCTTGGAAGACAGAGAGAGAGAGAGAGAGAGAGAGAGAGAGAGAGAGAGAGAGACTAATATCCTTTCTCCCACAAGCTTGCTGTTCACATTGGCCTATGGTCATCTTTACTTTGCTAACACTGGTGTTCTCATCCTCCTAAAATTATAAGTATAACACAACTTCTGCACTCAGAGAAGATTGCAGAAGAAGAGGGCAAAAGGATTTTAAGAGCCAGAAGAACAGGAAATGAGATGATGTCTCCTAGAAATGTCAGAGAAGCCACATCCATGATGTCTCATCAACATGGATGCCTAAACTAGATGGTTGGAAATAAAGAATAATGGGTTGGGACTGCAGGTGGCAGGTCCTGGCTTTGGGACAGTGGGCAGATGGGAAACAGAGACCTTGTAGACGTGACTCATATTGAAAGTTTTATTGAGGGAGAGGTAAGAAAAGAAGATAAAGAGACACAGAGACAGAGAGAGGACTGAAGAGAAGAGGGATACAGGAAAAGTCCTGTCTGTCCGAGGGGAACAGCAGGAAAGAGAGACCATAAATGGGCAGGGCTCTTTCTTTTAAAGGGGTCTTTTGCACCTGTATGCAGACTACTTAGCCATGGAACCCTGAGCTGACCAGGGTATTTCCTGAGTTCATTCTGCCAGATGACAGGGGCAGTCCAGCATAATGCCTGAATCCTTACAAAGACCTGAATAAAGACAGCAGCAATAGATATTGTAGTACGTGGTGGGGGGATGACATGGGACCCCGCTCCCTTAGACAAAGAACTACAGGAAGGTATGGAATGCTAAAAGAAGGGCAAATAGTCTTCTTCAGGGAAGAGAGGTCCCCAGTTTGTTAACCAATGCTGTCATCAGCCTTGAAACATGTTCATCAGATAACATTAAACAGACTGAGCAGGTTCTATTTATATATTTAGGAATGTGTGCGTGTGTGTGTGTGTGTGTGTGTGTGTGTGTGTGTGTGTGTGTAACTGCAATTGAGGCAATAGAAGCCATGACGTTCAGAGTGAGTTTGGGGTAAATTGAAAGCTTTTATCAAGAAATGGGGAAAATGATGTAACTATATTGTAATATTAAAAATAAGAAAAAATTAAAACTATAACTAATAGGTTTTCTGAATCACGACAATAGGTTTCTCTGCTGACACAGTAAGCCAGATCAAGCAAAATTGAAAAAGTAAAAAGAACAGGTTTATTTGAGCAAAGTAACTCCTGGGTGAGTTAGATCATGTGCCTGAACTTAAAGCAGGGAGGCTATGGTCTGGATTGTGAGGAAGGATGATGTGCCCATCACAAGGTGGGTTTGTGCTCAATGGTCAAAAACTGAATGCTTTAGGTGGGGATTGGAACTGCTGGCAACTTCAGGGGAGGAGCTGCCACAGCCACCAAGAATGTGGAACTGGGCTTTTTGGAACTGTTACTTTGTTGGGCATTTTCTGAGTGGGTGGGGTTTGGAGACAGAGAGATGGGGCTTCTCAGACCATGCAGGAGCAAGCTGGAGCTTCCAGCTGAACAATAGCAACCAATAACACGGTGTAAATGCACCATTTGGAATACACCAGATTCAGATTACAGTCATGATTTTGCCACTTGCACGTTGAATAATTTTAGGTGAATCGTTATATCACTAACTCAGTAAGAAAACAGTTCACCTATCCTGAAGATTACACTATGTACATACAGTGTTTGGTTTACTTATCAATATGTGATAGATCAATTACCACTAGGAAGAAACAAAGCAATAATAACAACACCAAGACTGAGGCTGGTGCTACTCATGTTGAGTCAGGGCTAAAGATAATGAGCATCCCAAGGGCAGAAATTAGACCATATTCTCCCAGGAGTTTTATGGACTCCCCTTTATCCCTCTGGTACCAAGGATGGGTTTCTAGGTAACCATTGGCTAAGGATCACCTAAGAATACATCCACCCTCAAGAAGTCTTATTATTAAAATGTCCTGTACATCAACCATTTTGTCTCTTTTTCTCAGAATAAACACCAAAACTTTGGATTTTGCCCCAGTTTCATAATTAAAATTTTCTAAGTTCCAGGGCATAGAGAAGAAGTGGTTTCTATATGGTGAAGTAAACTTTATTGAGTCTACATAAATTCAGCCATTGCATTTATGTCTGCTCTCATGATGATCTTTTTTATCATGGACCTTTATCTTTTCCTTTATGGACCTTGAAAATGACATATGCCTAGACCAACGGGTATTAAATTTAAGATCATGACAACAAGGCTGCTGAGATGGCTTATCAGGTAAAGTGTGAACCACTGAGTCTGGGGGCCTGAGTTTGAGCTCTGAGACCCACATAGAGGAAACTGAAAATTAACGCTTACCCATTGTCCTCTAATTTACATACAGAGACTAAGTAAGATAAAAAAGAATCACCACAATAAAATAACAATAAAGCATTGATTTAATTATTTGAGAACTAAAATAAAAATTGCAGAACTCTGGTTTTCCAGTACCTATCGTTTTAAACATAATCTTGAGTGAAGCATTTATTGTTTCTAGATTTCAAATTTCTTCATTGTAATAAGATTAAATTAATTATATATAAAAATTCTAGGATTATAAACATATGCCTATTGAAAATATGGATGCAACATATCTTATATGCCATTTTTATAACTTCATATACACCTGTATGTGAATTTCAGGTTTTCATGAAAGATCAGATTATAGTCCAGGTGTCTGGAATGGTTCATGGGTAAGGTTTGGTCTTCTGATGACAGTTGTTCATCCATCCTAGACCAATGAGAAGGAAAACTGGAAAATGCAAATTCTCAGACCCTGCCAGGTGTTCACTGCATTAGGAGCTATGGGGGAGGAGTCAGAATCTGGGCTGCAACCTCTCCTCCTGGAGACTCTGATAAACAGGAAGCTGTGAGAACCACTCCATAGGCACACTCCAGGGAAGAACTATAGCTTAATGTCACCATCAGTACCAGCAATCAGTCACTGAAGGGGAAAATGGCAGGTCCTCTACCAAGAGCTCCGATAGGTTGGTCAGACATGCAGCTGGGAGCAGGAGTTTTTAAAAAAGTAGGGACTGGCATGGGTGGAAACTATGGAGCAGAAGGCCAATGACCCCAGGTTAAATCACTCTTTCTCTTAGTCCAGGAATGGCTGGCTTTACAGACTTTTTCCCTGAAGTGCATCATAACAGAAGACATACACCCTCTATCTGAGACACAGCTACTGGGACCCCAGCCACCAGAGTCCAGGGAAAAAGAGAACATTCTTGGAGTTTCTCTGAGCTAAAGCTGAGCTTGTCTAGAGAAGGCCGCAGGGGTGAGAATAAGCCTATGGAAACGACAAGGCAAGAACTCAGCATGGACACTCTTCAGGAGGTTTATAGAGGCTGTGTTGTCATCCAGGACATTTCCCTGGGAGGGAAATCCCCGGCTTTGCAACTTCCTGGCCAGGGTGAGGGCCACCAGTCGGCTGTAACCTTTCCTGCGATGGTCAGGTAGGGTGTAGCCATGACACATGGTGGCAAACTGGTCTGTGATACCCCAGGACACCGGGTTTCCCTTCTCATCGCGCACACACACACTGGGAAAGCAGGCGATGAGTTTAGCTATGTACTGCAGGCACTGCTGATTGCCACCACGAGACCAGGTCCGGTTGAGGAGATCAGCATCTGAGACACTCAGGTAGGTGAGTCTCGGGGAAGGCCCATTTCTAGAAAATAAATAAATAAATAAACAAATAAATAAATGGGCCCCCAGAGTCACGTGACCACCAACCGCTACCCTTTTCGTACTGATTTAAAATGGAAACCATCTCCGAGACTATGTCTGGTTTTTCAAGAATTTAGAGTCTAAACACTTCCCACTTGAAAGATGAAACATTCATAGCAAATTTAGTTCTATGCCTACTTGTTTTAGAGAGCTCTGCAGACTGCAGTGTGACCGACACTGCTGCTGCATCTTCACTCTCTAGAAGAAGAAGTACAACTTAATTTGGGTTTGGGTTGCTTTTATAGTGATGTAGAAGGATAACTGACTCTTAGGATTCAGCCTCTTAGGAGCAGGCAGCTGACCGGAATCACCTCCAAAGGAGGCAGACATCTAGCTGTTTTTTTGTTTTTGTTTTTGTTTTTTTTTTTGAGACAGGGTCTCTCACTGAACCCAAGTTGACTGATTCAGCTTGACTGGATGGCCAGCAAGCTTCAGAGAGGTTCTTATTTGCCCCAGAGCAATAGGTGTTTGTTGCCACAACCAACTTTTAAGTGGGTGCTGGGATTTCCAACTTAGGTATTTGAGTTATCTACTGAAAGACCCGCTCGGAATGCTTCTGCATGTCCCCTGCCCGCTGCCTCTCTGTCTTCCCCGCCTGTGCGGTGCTGGGTGTTCTCTCTGGAGCAGGCGGGATGGGCTGGGAAGGATGGGGGCGGGAGGAGAGTTGGCCGAGGAGGAAACGGGGCGCTGCGCACATGCTGGGCAGGGGACATCACCCGGGCTCGCGCCCTGGGCCACCCGGGGCCCCCGGCTTCTGGGGCGAAGTAACCCGGCCGATCGTCCCTGTGCGCAGCGGCTGCTGAGCCAGAAGGGCCGCCCAGGGTAGGGTAGGAGTCCGGAGCAGTTGACCGAGGGCAGCGCGGCGAGGCGGGGACTGAGCAGGGCAGGGCCAGGGTGCGGCCAGGGGCTGGAGAGTGCAGCGCGGGCGGCGCCTGGAAGGGGAACTTGAGCTGGGAGAGGCAGAGCAGCGATGCTGCTTGTCCAGGAGGTGGG